AGGGGAGGGGAGGGTGGGGAGAGGACGGCATCATGGCATGCCTGTTAGCCGCGGCGGAGGAATCTGGAAAAGCATCTGGACCACCGCTCTATCTCTGAAAAGATCAAAGGACGCTTTGTTTACTCTCGGTGAAAAGTGATGTCTAAGTTGCGCTGTAACTTTTGGAGCTGATCGCTTCATGCGCTCCTCTTTCTTTTTCGCCGCTTTGAGAAGAATTTGTGGGACTACTTCCGCGGCAGCACACCGGGCGCTACTTTCCAGCTCTTCTCTGTGTTGTTGTATACGCCATATTGATCGATTGGGTTGAACGTACGTTCTGCCTGAGACAAATATTTGACAGAAAAGTCGGTCTGTAGTGCCGATTGGTTGACGGTGAGTTGAAAATGTGTTTACTTCTATTTTGGGGACTGCATTTCTCCTTTCTGGATGGCTCATAATGGCCCTAGTAGAATGAAAAGAGGCATCTAAATCTGGGTGTGGTGCACTGGGCCATCTTGACCTGTCTTCTGAGATTACTTTCAAGGCAGAGTGCTCGAAAAACTGGAACTTTTAAACTCTTTTGCATCTCCATATTTTCTTCGTTGATTTTTAATATTTTCGTTTAACAATTACATCTGTTTCTCTTTTGTGAGTTTTGGGATTTGCTTTATGTCCCTGGAGGATATGTTGTATTGTGATTCACCTGTCTCGTAGTGAGTCATGAACGTTTTTCGTGGAATGTATATTTTGACTAGAAAAAAATTAGTGTGAATGCTGTGTTAAAAATTCTCCCCAACAGTGTTGGTCCATTCTACTCCTAATTTTGACTTGCTTATATATACCGTCTAAACGCAAATAAATAAGACTTAACAGGTTAAGCACATCTACAGCATTAAGAACACACAACCCTTTGAAGGCCTTTTTTCCTCCCCTACAAGTTTCCACTTTTGTAACTGGCCTAACCTTTTCAATATTTTACTCTTGTGTTAAAAATGTTCATGTATTCTGTTGAAGTTGGTAATTTGTATTTATTTAGGTTAGGAAAGACAACCCTAGCCTTTCAGCTAAGGCAGTTAAGCTGGCTTTTATTTTCTGTTGTTTAACTTAGTTCCTTATGCTTCACGTTTATTTCAATATTTATCTATAATTCTTCCCTCTTGCTCTTCTTCCACTTATTTCTCACTCTTTTCCCAATTATATAGGTATATGTAATCACATTCTTTGTATTCTAATTCACCTTATTTTTCTTTTGACTAGGATTGGGTGAAACCTTCCGTGCAACCATGAGCTACATGCAGCAGCCGCAGTCGCGGCAAAGTAAGTAATTCTTTCAATTTGGTTATTTCATTTATTAACTGTTTAAGTAAAGATTTAACATACATACTTTTTCTGAACAGTGTCGCAGGGCCACTATCAAGGGGGTCCTGGTGATTTGCCTGTCAGCTCTGTGAAAGAGCAGACCATGATGTGGCAGCAAAATAATTACATGGGCGACTCAGGAATACATTCTGGTGTAACTACCCAAGCCCCCTCTCTTACTGGCAAGGAAGATGACATGGAGGGTGATCAGCTCATGTTTGATCTTGATCAAGGATTTCCTCAAGGGTTTACTCAAGAGCAGGTTGATGGTATGTGTAATGTTCTTGAGATTTTTTGTGCTCTCCTTGTATTATTTTTTTAACTAACTGTATTTTAATTTGCAGAGATGAATCACCAGTTGAGCCAGACTCGCTCACACAGGGTTCGAGCTGCAATGTTCCCTGAAACTTTGGAAGAGGGTATTGAAATCCCGTCAACTCAGTTTGACCAGGCTCAGCCAACAGCTGTACAACGTCTTTCTGAGCCCAGTCAGATGTTGAAACATGCTGTGGTTAATCTTATTAACTATCAGGTATGATTTGATCTGCATCTCCACCCTTCTACCTTTTCTGATCTTGAGAAACCATGTTAACCTTGTTTGCCTTCTGCAGGATGATGCGGACCTTGCAACTCGGGCTATCCCAGAGTTAATCAAGTTGCTTAATGATGAGGATCAAGTTGTTGTGTCCCAAGCTGCTATGATGGTGCATCAGCTTTCTAAGAAAGAGGCCTCTCGTCACGCTCTCATGAACAGTCCTCAAATGGTGCAAGCCTTGGTTCGAGCTATCTCCAACAGCAATGATTTGGAGAGCACTAAAGCTGCTGTTGGAACTCTACACAATCTATCGCACCATCGCCAGGGGTTGTTGGCTATTTTCAAGAGTGGAGGCATCCCTGCTCTTGTGAAGCTTTTAAGGCAAGGCCCTTTCCTTATCAAATTTGAATTACCAGGATTACAGAAAATTTAGTCTTATTGCCGTGCTATTTTTACAGCTCTCCAGTGGAATCTGTGCTCTTTTATGCCATCACTACTTTACACAATCTGCTGTTGCATCAAGAAGGCTCGAAAATGGCTGTCCGTTTAGCTGGTGGTCTCCAGAAGATGGTTGCTCTCCTTCAGCGTAACAACGTTAAATTCTTGGCCATTGTGACAGATTGTCTGCAGATTCTGGCTTATGGCAATCAAGAATCAAAACTTATTGTCCTTGCCAGTCAAGGGCCTGTTGAACTTGTTCGTATCATGCGATCATATGATTATGAAAAGCTTTTGTGGACTACTTCACGAGTGTTAAAAGGTAAGTTATCAATCATCTCGTCTTTCGTGTTTCCTCGCTGACCCTGTGTAACCCAAAACACTTACTTCTTTTAGTTCTCTCTGTATGCTCGAGCAACAAACCTGCTATTGTGGAGGCAGGGGGTATGCAAGCTTTGGCCATGCATCTTGGTCACTCAAGCCAGCGATTGGTTCAGAATTGCCTGTGGACTCTCCGTAACTTGTCCGATGCAGGAACTAAAGTTGTAAGTTAATTCAACATGTTCAACCTATCCTATAAACGGTTACTTACTTGAACCCTACTAAATATCTTAATTTTTATCACAGGATGGACTTGAAAATCTCTTGCAAAGTCTGGTAACTCTACTGGGATCTTCTGATGCCAATGTGGTTACTTGTGCTGCTGGAATCTTGTCTAATTTGACATGCAATAATCAACGAAACAAAGTGACAGTTTGTCAAGTTGGTGGAGTTGACGCACTTGTACGGACTATTATGTCTGCTGGAGACCGAGAAGAGATTACAGAACCAGCTGTGAGTATCATTTTGTTGGAAAAACATGAAGTATCCCTGATGGACTGGGGGACACTGAGGGATTGTCCTTCGCCGATCCCCGCAAGTCCCTCCGGATTTTGTAGTCCCTCTGCTGTCCTTAGACAATCCTTGTGATAATCCTGACGAAATTCTGTGATATTTATGATATCTGAAGTCCCTGAGGTGTCCTTCGACTGTCCCTGGGTTTTCACCGCCTTGCCTGTATTCAGAGTCCACCGCAAACCACATCCCTGGAGGATCTCTGGGAATTTCTCGCTCAAAATACCCGGAGATTATTCTCACTGGCGGATCCCTGAAAATACCTGAGTGATCCCTATTAAATCCTCACCCAACATCTCCAGGTATTTTCGGGAATTAACTGTAGACATCCCTCAAAAACCTCCCTCAGCAGTCCCTAC